TTTTTGTTTTTTTTTGTTTTTTTTTTTTTTTTTTTTTTTTTTTGATACCAGGGATTGAACACAGGTCCTTGCGCTTGCAAGGCAGGCCACCGAATCACTGAGCTAAATCCCCGGCCCCAACCATTCTTTATTATGAAAAGGTCAGTTAGGGGATGCTTTGGGAGGGTCAGAATGCAATATGAGCATTTCCATTATTTTTTATAGAAAAAGTAGTCTTGGCTTACAACCAACCTGAGTTACAATTAGCCCTCATGAAAGAATTGAGTTCATAAGTCAAAGGTCCACTGTAGGTGCCTGGGAACCACCTTTATCAGCCATCCAGTGGTCTACAATCTATTTTCCAAACGCTGGCACGCTGGGTAACCGTCGCCCACTGAGATTGTCTCTGCCAAGTCGGGCTCGGGTTTAATGATCAGCCCTGGCCAGGGTTTGCTGCAATAATGGTCTACCTGGAGCGTTCTACACTGTGTGACCATGGGTCTCAGGCCAGGGATTGTTCTCTCCTCTCTCCTTAAACAGACCAGGGCTCATGCAGACTGAGACCTTGTCTCAGGACCTATCAGAGAAACGCCTCCTCCAGACACAGCAAGCTCCCTGAGACTTCGAGCAGACACCTGACAGCCCAAGCACCTTAAAGGAAACACAGAAACTATTCCCAAGGCAGAAGTGTCTAGGCCAAGAGTATAAAAGTAGTATGATTAATGTGCACAGGAAATTACATGCCTACCTGTGAACTTGACATCCCAGCTAGCACAGCACCTTACAGAAGCCAAAAGCCTTGTAAAGCACTGCTGATCTAGGAACCTGATTGTAAGAACGAGCAGCTGGGACTGCATCTGCTTCTAGGAGCCCAAGTCCCGCTGTTCTGCTTCCCTTTAAACTTTAGTCCCTACTGCTCAAAAGGAACACTATGCATGAAGGGGTCACCATAGAAAATGATTATAAAACCTACACGTCAAGAATCTTTTTCTCAGCTTTGAGATAGCTAAAGACATTTTTCCAGAACCATTTTCTAGGACTGTAATTTGCGATCCATCTCATACATGGGCTTTGAGAAAAGCATTCTGGGAAAAAAAATCGATCTAAGACAACCCAGTCAATGAGTTTTTTTTTTTTTCTATTAAACATTTTTCATTTGGAGTGTGCTTTGAGGGACATTTTTTCACATTTCACGTTGCTGGTTGAACGCATCAAAATACATGAAACCCTCCAAATTCAGACTCTCCTGTCTCTGTCTTAGATTTTTCTTTCTAGCTACAAATGAACATATTTCGTGGCTGCAGATTTAGCTCAGTGGTGCCAGTGCCTGCCTCGCAAGCACAAGGTCCTGAGTTCGATCCCCGGTACCAAAAACAGAACATTTTGTGGAAAAAGGAAACAGGAGTATGATGATGTGCCCACTTTTCTAGCATCATTCCAAAGTGCCTAATTTTTGATGAAGGTCTTTAGCTAACTATTAAATTAGGAACAACTGTTTATTAATATTTTATTTCAAATATTTAGAGTAAACATCTTTCAAATACATATTCTGTTTCCCTGTGTTCATAAGTGATTCATTAACATAAAACATAATCTACATCTTTTTTTCTCAGCTTTGAGATAGCTGAAGACATTTTTCAGGAAACAATTTTCCAGAAATGGAATTTGTAATATAAAATATATCTTTTAGAAAGTTTGTAATGTCATCATGATTTTGATTTCGTTTTCTCCCTGAGATTCAAGTGCATAATCTCTTGGGTATGCCCTGACTGACATTCTGGGAAATCCAAAGCTTGGAATCAAAGCTAGTGTTGCCTCCCCTAAGAAATCACTGGTTAACTTCCTCTTTCTGAATTGGTGATAAGAGGCTCCTAGTACACAAGATTCTAGAAGAGATTATTCCTCAGGTTACACATTTCTAGTCAGATACTCGAGTACAGCTCTATGCACTAGGAACACCGGAAAATAGTTGATGAGAGCGAGTAACCAATCATCTATCTCCCACGTCCCTCAGGGGCCTGACTCTGAAGGCACAGGGTCCACATGTTTCCCAGTGAAAAGAAGCTTCAGTCACCCACAGTAGTGACTCTACTGGTACAACCTCCCTGGCCCCATGTTTATCTTAGTTCTTGGTCACTCAGATCTCAAACAAATTTGTCCTTGATTCTCTGTTTCAAGGTACACTACCAGGAGGACTCAAACTAAGGCAACTTGTTCCATTAACAGCTCTGCGTTAATCTTCCCAAAGCTTCTTCACACTCCTGTTTAGGTTTGCACATATTTGTTTTGTTTTCTCACTGCTCCTCTTGATGAAACTTAAGTGCTGTGAAGCCCTGTCTTGCTTTGCTGCTCACATACAAACAGGATGGCAATGGTTCTTGCCCTGCAAGTACATTAGAGGGGGAAGAAAGCTTTAAAACGGACCTCCAACCCCTCCCTGGGATATTCTTATTGGCTTGGTTTGAGATGGGAGATGGACACAAGCATGAATTAAACTTCCCCTGGTGAATGTCGACCAGCGCAGCCATTATAAAAAAGTATATAGAGGTTTCTCAAAACCTCTGTATGAGTCAAAGCAAATGAGAGTGAGAGAAAGTCCATAAAAGTTTGCTGAGACATTTTATAATTTGTGTTTAAAAATAAAAAGAACACCGAACTCAGAAATAAGAGGATATAGCATCAATATAATTATGTTTACTTTAATTTCCACTAATACTGTCACACTCAGTAAGAACATTCAAAGAGACAAGACAGCAGGATGGTTGAGATCAAGGATACTGCAGTCCAGAGCTACTCTGTTTTGACATAGATACAAAATTTCTATGAGCCTCATCTACTTCCTCTGTCTATTATCTCAGGACAGCATCTACTCCATAGGATCATGAGAATTCAATGATTACATCTGTAGAGTTCATAAAACAGCACCTGGCACCTGGATGAAGGTTAAGTACGAGATCATTACCCTGTGGCACACACTGTATATTATAAGAGACCCTTCATGCACGCTGCATTTAGCTGCAGGTAAGGTAAAGCCCAAAGCCTGGCTTAAACCAGAAGGGGCTGTGATGTGGCACCAACTGAGGTTCACACCATGGTGACCCAGATTTCTCTGCTCTGTGATTTCCAGGTCCTGCAGATGGGTCTTTCTCTCAAACTAGTAGACAGCTGGTAAGTAGCAGTCACATATCTCTGTTCTCAGCAGAAGGGCCAAGGAAGGACAAGTCTCTCTTCTGGAAAGGCATCCTTTGTAAAACAAAGTTCTCCCAGGTACTTTACCACATACCACAGGCCAGAGTAGGGCAACCCCAGAAAGCCCTACTTTTACCTGACATTGGGATTTTGAGAATTGTACTTTTCAGCTCCTCAAACTAAACAGGACAAAGAAGAATGCGGTCTACCCAAGGAAACTGAGTGAGTTGATCTGCACAAACCTCCTTACTAACATTAGGAAACCTTCTGATTTTGTGTACAGATCTCTGCCTCCTAAGACTGGCAGCCTTGGTCCCAAATATTGGTAGAAAATTGAGTTGGAAAAGCTTTCGGCAAAACCTTTCACATAGTCAGGTAACCAAACTGCAAATGCTAGCTCCTGGCCCAAAAGGCAGAGTTACATGCATCTCTCCTGAAGTTCCAGGCACTTGCTGGATTTCTCTGTCAGGCAGGGGCTGACTGCAGCTCAGCCTCCTGTGTCTCCAGCCCCCAAGTCTGGATCAAAAAGGCCTCCATTCCAGCCAACCAATCACACTTCCTCTTTCATATCTTGCTCCATTGCACATGCATAAACACCTTTTCTCTCTCACCAGGAACAACAGAAATGACAGAAGCCAGAATCCACAACATTAGGGGAAAACACGTGAAAGTCAACTCAGGTAAACTAGAAATCCCTAAGGTGAATGAAAATGTTGACAAAAGATCCCTGCTCTGTAATATTATAGAGAGATCTGCTGCTAGCCATTTAAAGCTAGAGGTAATTCTTTTAACTATCAGTGTCTCCTTTGGTTTAATTTTAGAGGCAGGATGTAAAAAATAATGGAGAGAAAGCAAAATGAAAAAAGGAGAATGAAAATAGAAAAAAGACTGGAGTTACTGTTCATTAGATCTCACTGTGATCCTTGACCTTTTGGTTCTATTTCATTGTTTATCACCTGGCTATTTATCATCAGTTCAGGCCCAGCTGTCCAGTTCTGAAGAACCTACGTTCTACCCTTCTTTCCTCCTAGTCCAACGCCTCGATCAGCAAGGTGAACTGCTGGATTCACCTCACAATCCCAACAGTTACTGAGAGGTCTCCCCACACCAAATAAAACTAACACACTTGAGATGGGCTGCCAATAACTACTGTTGTATGAAGCAGACTACTTATTAACATGTATGAGATCCCTTTTAAATAAAATATTGTGCTACATAGTTTGGAAAACTAATCCCTACTCCCAACATCTACCCAAATGATCTTTCAAAACAAAGTAAAAAAATGAAAATTCCAAGACCATCGTTTTGTTTTTCAAGTGCACTAGGAGTCACAGATTGGACAAAGAATGAGAATTTGGCTGTTCAGTAGCTTTCAGGACTTCATAATCAGCCGTCTTTTAAATATGGAAATGACCGGATGCTGTTAGAGCACTATTCAAACACAACAAATGACAATACCGGTGGTTGAACCAATAGAAAACTTCAATCGGTTATAAAGGAAACACTTTATTACAATGTACATCAGACTGTATTTTTGTCTTAATATATATGAAATGAAAGAAAAAAATAATAATAGATCACACCAAGGAGAAAACTGGAAAACATACCAGAGGAAGCTTCTAGTCTTTCCAATCTGCTGATCAGCCAGTCGAGAGAGCCAGAAAATTGAGCACAATTTTTACGATTTCCTCTAATTAGAGCCGCTGCAAAAGAAAAAGTTTTCACGTTTATGTGATTTTCCAGTTCAAAAATCAAGGTTAGCTAAAAGAAGCTCTAAAATGTTGGATCAAGAACAAGTACCTTCATAAATTATCTAAATCCCATGCAAATGCATACTTATCTAAACTGGACCAAAAAAAATCACTTGATATCTATTAACAACAACTGGAAAAAAAAAACTGCTCATTAGAAGGAATGTAATTCCATAAAGTAACATTTCACATTGGGAGGTGATAATGAAGGGTAATGGAAAAACCATTCTCCCAGGAGTTTCCTCACTTGGATCCTAAAACTCATTGCTTTTAATTAGCCAGGAAACTACATTACTTGATCACTCTAGAGCCCAATTTTCTCACCTATACAATGAAGAAGTTAAGTGCACATCAGTTTTCCTGAAAACATAGCACAAAATACTAGAAGATACAATTAGTAATTACAGCCCTACAGGTACACTGAGAGATACAATTAAATAGTACACGGCAGAGAAAGCTGATAGCTAGGATATGTGGGAACCAAATACACATTTTTATGTATCTTGTTTTCACATTTGGAGATTCACAATGTGTATCTGGACTCTGAGATAACGTGGAATAAAGAAAACTACTCTAACTTTAACCAAATATCCTTCCTTGCATGAAATTCTTCCATGACTTTTACCATAGTTTATGATTCAATTTAAAATGTTTAACTTCATAGTTAAAAATCCAATGAGTTCAATACTTTTAAAGTATTTTAAAGAATGACTTTTTAAACATATATTTTTTCCTAAATCAGTAATATGGTTTAGAAATGGTACCTGCTTTTAAAGGTTTGGCAATATTTTTGAATAACATGGTATTTTATAGGAAACAAGATGTCTCCATAGGGAAAATCACTACTTACAGTCTGGTTCCACGAGGAAGCAGACGGAAGAAGTCTGAGGCTATTGACTGGTTACTTGCTGACTAAGAGCAAGTGGAAGGAGACCCCAAGGACAGACTTCTAAGGAAATAAGATTTAACATATAACTTCCAGAAACGTGTGCGTGTATGTGTGTGTGTATCCAGTTGTATGTCAGGGGGAGCAACAGGCATGTTTCACAGATAATGGGATATGTGAACTATTATGATTTACCAAATCAATTAGAAAGAACGGAATAAGCAACGTTCTAAAGAAATGAAAAAGTCTGCAGACAAATATGAGAAAGCTCCCCAAACACTTTATATATATCAACTAAACTTAAAGATGGCCTGCTCACCTCCTCTTGCCACAGAAAAATAATAAAAGATGTTGCCCGAAATGGACCAATACAAGAAGTCTTCTCTCCCTAGAGATGCTAAGAAGAGTTGTTGGTGCCTCCAGGATATGTGTACCAAAATGACAAGATGACGCACCTAGCCTGGGCTCTCACCACCCAGCTCTGGGGTCAGCAGTCACCCAGAAGTCAGCCAATGCGGGGCACCCAGAGAGGCAGGTGCTTGGAGCACGAGTTAAGGATGGAACTCAGCAGATGGTGAGGAGGTATGAGCAGACTTGGGCTGAGTGGCACTCCTAATTTTATTCTCCAAGAATATCTGTCCCCAATGTAGGACAAGAGCAATCGGAGAACAGTGTAAGATGGAGTTTTTGAAGTTTTTTAGAATCTCATCCATATAAAACTTGACTGATGCTTTTCACTTTAATTGTTTTTTCAAGTCAAAGACATGACACATCTAATGAAGGTCAGATATCAGAAATAAGGTGATTTTTGGAGAAACTCAGAGTGCAAGACTCAATTCCTTTAATATGCCGTGGGACATAAAAAATCATAAGTCACAAAGACAATTTCATTAAATTTACCACAAAAAGAAATGGTATAGGCCAAGTTCTTTGACATTGTGTCATGAAATTAGAACTTAATAAGAAAAGTGGAAAGAAAAATAAAATCCAAGCATTTAAAAATTTAAATTCCATCCATATAATTTTGGGATCTGTGAGGAAACCATTACTATAAGACAGAATATTTAATAAATATCAAATATGAGGCAGATGGCAAAAACTGAGAAAAATTAATTGAACGTTTAATTGCTAAGAAACAGGATGAAATTCTTAAACACTCCTTTCAAAATATAGGAAAAGAGCACTACATAAACATAACTAGAAATACTAGTAAAAGTAGAAAATAATACATTACAAATTGATCCATATAATTGAAACAGTAAGACTGACCAAAATATCGAAATTATTTTATTATAGTCAACATGTTAATTGATGAGATTAACTGTTTATTTCCATACATGGATATGCCATGCACTGATCATATCCATCCAACCCTCAACAATTTTTTTTTTTTTTGGTAACCGGGGATCAAACTTTGGCTAAATCCACTGAGCTAAATCCCAAACAATTTTTAATATAAGCTAACTATCCTACTTTAATCTAAAAAGAAAAACCTAAGGAAAAAAAAGTATAGATACAGAGATTTTATATATCTTACTACTAAAATTTCTGGATATGGGGAATAGTACGGCCTCGAATAAATATTTTTTTCACCAAAACTCACCCAATAGGAAGGAGAAAAATCTAAATATAATTTTAAAACCAGGAATAATACTGAGAAGTCTGTCAAGCACCAATATTTTTCAGATATTCAAGAAAAAGTTTATTTCCTAAACTATTCTAAAGTGAGGAAAAACGGTCTATTCATTTTAAATAGTATCACCAAATTTGATATCAAAGCCTAACGAAGAGACTCATGTAATAAAACAAGAAGCAGTTTTCAGTTGTATCTATAAATCCACCAATCTTACACAAGGATTTACTTACAATTTACAAATAAAATTATTTTACAATTCAAAATTCAATTCAATATTTACAAATCAAAATCAGCAGCCCATAGTAATAACAATGAATGTGGAGATTCATTCCTCCAATAAGAGAGAAAAGTTACAGGAAGCCTGTAAATGGATGTGCAAAGATAAAACATACCATGATCTTAATAGACTGAAAATATACAGACTTCTAAGGAAATAAGATTTAACATATAACTTCCAGAAACATGTGCGTGCATGTGTGTGTGTCCCCAGTTGTATGCCAGGGGCAGCAATAGGTATGTTTCACAGATAATGGGATATGTGAACTATTATGATTTACCAAATCAATTAGAAAGAAGTGAATAAGCAACTTTCTAAAGAAATGAAAAAGTCTGCAGACAAATATGAGAAAGCTCCCCAAACACTTTATATATATCAAACAATCTGAGTAGAGCTAAGTAAACAAATGATACCCCACCCCTTGGAAAGGTTATATATGTCCCCTAAAACCTGATAAAGGCCTATAGTTATTTCCAAGGAAAGATGCCCACAGGAAGAAGTAAAAAATGTACTATAAAAGAACATGGCATTATGCCATTTTTTAAAATATGTGTGCGTGTGTGTGTGTGTGTGTGTGCACATAAATATATTAGCATGGAAAATTTTTATTTTTAGAATATTTCTTAGAGCTTGAGGAATAATTTTCTGGGAAATGTGTTTTGATAAGAGCCTAGGGTATAAATGGAGAACCTGAAGAAGAATGACGTGGGTGGACCTGCTCTCCCCTGGATCGAACGAAAAGGAAACTGTCTTATTCCAAAATAGGAGTGGGAAATGGATCCAGATGGGCGGACGGGGAAAGTACCATGGTCTGTAATACCATCATCTCCAGGGACACCCTGAGTCTACAACAGATTTCTTTTAAAATTGTAAGCACTCTGAGAGGCTGAGGTAGGAGAATTGCTAATTTGAACTTAGCCTGATCAACTCAGCAAGACCCTGTCTCAAAACTGAAACAAGACACAAGGCTGGGAATGCAGCTCAATGGAAAGGCCATTAGTTCGAGCCTCGGTGCTCAATAAAAATAGAAGTCGATATGACATCTGTGAAGGGACTGTCTAGAATCAAACTATTATCTGCATTTAGAGTATCAACAGACAATATGGAAAAACTATAAAAGTGGGAAGAAGGTAATCAAATAAATCCCAAAGTTATAAACTTCAAAAGAAAACCTTTCGATTCAGCTCATGAAACCTGAATCTGGACCATGCTAACCAAATCATCATGGGGAGGAGGACCAAGCCCAAGGCCTAGTGCTCCACACACACGCACACACACACGCACACACTGTGTGATTCAATGTGGGTATAATATGAAATACACTCAAATGAAAAAGCTTCACGAGATTATACATGAAAATCGGGGTTACATTTAAGTTTCCATCCTTTTTCTTTTATTCTTTTTATATTAACAATATATTAATTTTAAAATAAAGTAACACAATGAAGTTGCTTGCTCTTCAAAAAGGGAAGTGAAAATGAAATCAGTATTCTCAGTGCCAGTCACTGCCAGATGTCTCAGAGGGCCACTCATCTCCAGAGTGCAGGGGATCCTTTAATCTGACGAGCGTAACTGTCTTTTCCTAAATGCAGGACAAGCATGCAATACCTCAAAGCAGCATTTAAATGCTGGCTAATTGGCCTTAAAGACTAAGTTATGATTTTCATCGTCCATGTACCATTTTTCACTCATTTACTTAAGAAATATTAACATAAATGTATCAAGCTTTTGAAAGAAATATAAAAGGAATATAACATAGTGGTTTACACATCTTCCATTATATTTTCATTTCCCTTATATCCAATAGTCTGCCTTGTACGTTTGAATAGTGCATGCAACTTTAAGAGTTATGTCATTTTTCAGACTGTGGAAATGAATATTTTATCTTTTATGGAATAAGTATACATACAGTACTTTAAAAACTGCCATGTACCTTAAGTATAATAAAAATACGTGAATTAAACTCTTAAAAAGAAAACTCTAGTTTACTAATTTTATTAATGTTGAATAACTAAGTCCTTAAACTTTTTTCCAGTCAAAATGTGAAATGCATGTAATATCGGTAATTACTTTACTCAAAAATTATTATTGGGCCAGGGATTTAGCTCAGTGGTGCCGCCATCTGCCTTGCAAGTGCAAGGACCTGAGTTTGA